GAGTAATGGCTGCTGAAAATTCAGCTTTGCATCACAGGAATAAATGAGTTTTTAAAATATAATAACATTCCACATATACTTCTACTGTAAGTGCTTTACTGCAACAGAAGTTTTAGCTTGCTTTAAAAAAAAAACAAGGGGCATGTCAAACTAAGCTGTCGATTTAAAAAAACAAAACAAAAAAAAACATATTTACATTTAAATCTTAAATTGTATCAAACCCTGAACATTCCTTTAAGGTCCTTTTGCGAACACATATCATCTGATAGCTTTTCAGTGTCATTTTGGGGAGGAAAAATATGAGAAAGATTTATGTATACTGTATACACATATATACAGTACATACATATACATTACTCTGTCTGTTGCCCGCTCAGGTAGGGAGGAATTAATAGAGCGAGTGCTGCTGTCCTCCATGCTGAACCCAGGTGAGCAGTGGCAGTTCTTCCGGCATCACGGCCGCACATTCACTCTGGAATACCGCCTGCGATTCCGCTGTGACACCAATTACTACAGCCCACTCTGCAACAAACTCTGCCGAGCACGAGATGACTTTTTTGGCCATTTCGACTGTGATCCTTCTGGTACTAAGGTGTGTAAGGAGGGCTGGACTGGAGCAGAGTGCAGACAGGGTGAGTGGCTCCAGCACATTGTCTTTAAATACTCTGGTCTTCAAGCTATTCACACACAAACATAACAACTGATTATTGTTTAAGCCCCGCCCACATTGGTTGCTCACTCATCAGACAAGCTTTACAGAATGTGGTTTAATGTTGTTTAAACAATGTAATTTTCAGTAAAACAAGGTCATGAAGTGAACCAGATTCATTTTTTATATTCTATTCTATTCTATGTTGCAAATCTAGGTAAATTTCAAATTAATACAATTCATTATTATTATATTATATTATATTATAATGCAAATGTACAGTAGGTGTTCTTAAAGTGCCCCTAATATGGGTTATGAAAGGTTCATATTTTGGTTTTGGGAGTCCCCAACAACAGGTTGACATGCATGCAAGGTCAAAAAACTAACGACTCGTTTCAATGATTCAGAGTCAATGATTCAGAGTCGACTCTTTCTTTTGAGAGACAATAACTTTATACACGGTGCACTTTCAGATTTAAAACTTTGCAGGATGTTTTCATTCACTTAGAGCTGTGGCCATTTCGACTGTGATCCTTCTGGTACTAAGGTGTGTAAGGAGGGCTGGACTGGAGCAGAGTGCAGACAGGGTGAGTGGCTCCAGCACATTGTCTTTAAATACTCTGGTCTTCAAGCTATTCACACACAAACATAACAACTGATTATTGTTTAAGCCCCGCCCACATTGGTTGCTCACTCATCAGACAAGCTTTACAGAATGTGGTTTAATGTTGTTTAAACAATGTAATTTTCAGTAAAACAAGGTCATGAAGTGAACCAGATTCATTTTTTATATTCTATTCTATTCTATGTTACAAATCTAGGTAAATTTCAAATTAATACAATTCATTATTATTATATTATATTATATTATAATGCAAATGTACAGTAGGTGTTCTTAAAGTGCCCCTAATATGGGTTATGAAAGGTTCATATTTTGGTTTTGGGAGTCCCCAACAACAGGTTGACATGCATGCAAGGTCAAAAAACACTTTCATTGTCTTATAATATGCATTTATTTTTACCTTATTTGCTCAACGACTCCCAAACGATTCGTTTAACGATTCATTTTTCCAAACCCCTCCTTTGCGTGACGCTAATCTGCGGTGATTGGTCCAATTGGTCTCATTTTCATTTCATCATGCCTGTAATGCCTGATAAAGCAGCGGTTGTGAGCACAGTGCTGCTTTGTGTACAGCGTTACCAGGGAAACCGCTATTTTTACCGCTCCAAAAGTGGCACCTAGTGGCAAAGAATGAATTTGCATTTTCATTCAGACCAATGTGAAAAGACCAACAAGTGGGCAGGCAATATGCTAATGTTTCATGTTGACGTCAACATGAAACGGCTTGGGATTCATTTAATAACGACTCGTTTCAATGATTCAGAGTCAATGATTCAGAGTCGACTCTTTCTTTTGAGAGACAATAACTTTATACACGGTGCACTTTCAGATTTAAAACTTAGCAGGATGTTTTCATTCACTCAGAACTGTGTTGCACACTGCATGAAAGGTAATTTTCAAAAATCCATAAAAGGGGCACTTTAAGTCTCGCAGATTTTAAAGATAAAACATGTTCGGCACTTACTCTGTCCTTGTATGACAATTAGACTACAGGATTATTTATTCACATGCTTTTCCAACATTTCATTGAGGCCAAATCCGTTTTCCAGCAGAGAGTAACTTAAGGGAGAGAGAAATGTCTCCCCTGAGATGATCAAGGAAGAGCCCATATTACTACCATACCCTAAGTCAAAACATTTAGCAAGCACTATGTTAACAATAGTTGAGTAAGAGGAGCGTCACATCATGACCTGTTGCATTTGGCAATAAATTATGTGTCCATTTTAAAG